CTAGTTATCTTGGAGATTAGAAACCAAGAGAGACAAAGAGATAGTTTGAACCATTTTCCGCCATTTGTCACTCATCCCTCAAGTTTGATTAAGACCCTTTGACCAAAGACTTGTCCTTGCTCTTATCTTGAAAATTGAAGAAAAATCCATCATCTTTCTTCCTCTCTTTGGCCGACTCCCTTAAGCAAGAAAAGAGTGAAAGTTTCTTCTAGTTTCATCTTGATTCCTAGCTAGATTTGTGGGAAAATCAACCTCAAACCCTAAATCCATCCATAGAAGGTTGCAACAAGGAAGGAAGGAGTTCGGTAAGGTGTGTGTTCTAAGTTTGGTGGATAAGAGCGGGTATTAAGTAAGAGGAAGTATGTAATTAAAACTGCTAAGAGTAAATTAGTGAATCACAAGTTAAAACAAAAATACAAGAGAGGCAAAGAAATAGGTCTGAACTGACTCGCGCCATTTGTTACCGGTCGAAGACACCACTCAACCAAGACTTTCTTTCCCTAATCTCCTTATTTTTCTTTCATGTTCCTTTCCTAATTTTATCCTAGGTTGGCTGAAATTATTGACAAGAAAGAGAGGAAAAATTAAAAAAAAAAGGAGGAAAAATGGATGATTGGCAAGTGTTGGCAATCAAAGCTATCTTTGACCAAAACCTTTCTTCCATCTTTATCTCTTCTATCATCAAAATTCCCTTCATTTTTCTTCCATGTTGGCCGACCAAAAAGAGGAAGAGAGCTTCATTTTTCATCTTAATCTTGCCTTGATTGAGTGAAGAATCAACAAGAATCACTAGTTTAATCTGAATAAAGTGGCAACAATGTGCCAAGGAGGCTTGTCGTGGAGTTATTTGGAGAGGAAAGCTTTGGTTTTTCATTTTCTCCTAGAGATTGAAGGTAGTAAGTTGGAAAACTTTCTTTTTCTTACTTATCTTGCATTTTGTTTGGGTAGATGACTAGAATATAGAAGTTTCGTGGAAGATAACCTAGATTTGTGAAGATTGGTGAATTTTTCTGCTTTGTATTATATTTTGCAGCCATGATATGATAGTATCTAGCCTTGATATGGACTTACATGAAGATTTATAGCTTTAATGTGACTTTTTAGTTTCCAAATAAGAATTTCCAGCTTTAGTTCCAAATTTCCAGCCTTGGTAGAGAATTTTCCAGCTTAGATATGTGATGTTTATATACCAGAGATAAGTTTAAATTAGTTGGTTTTGTAGCCTAGTATAAGAACTCCTTTTACCTTATAACTTGTGGAATTGATTTGGACTGTTTTGCCATGAACCTTAGCTTGGAAAATTTGAGGAAAAGTTAAGAAAAATAGGGGAGGTGCGGCCTGTTTTTCTTCTTGTGGGGTAAGTGAGTAAAAGTGGAAGTAGAGGTGTGAATTTAGGATATTTTGTCTTCCTCTTGTATATGACTTTTCTCAAAACACTTGTTACAATCTATTTTGTACTAGTTTTGAACCAAAACAAAGAAGTTTAAGAAGGGAAAAGACCTAGTTTTCCAAACTAATAGCTTGCTGGAAAATTTTCGCAGGAAGTCCTGCGCAGCTTTGGAAAATTGACTATAACTTCGTATAGGAAAGTCGGAATTGAGTTCCGTTTGTTGCGTTTGAAACTAGACTCATAGGGCTTTCAACAATATAAATTCAAGATTTGGTTCAACTCCTATAAATACCAGAAAATCTGAAAAGTTTCTTGAAAATCATGACTGTCCTGTATTTGCACACGAGACAGCAGTGAGTTTGAACTAAAATTTGACTAACCTATGAGCTGAATTTCATGAAGATGTCTTCTAAAACCTGTTAGTGCCTTGAGTCTATTTTCTAATGGTGTAAGTTTTGTGATTTTTTGACCTATGAAACTCAAGTTATGCCTTTTCAAAGAATGTCACCAAAGTTGGAAATTTTGTCAAATGAATTGAGTGGGACTTCGAAAACTTTTCTAGGTCTTAAACCTTAATTTGGTGTGATTTTGGATGCTTAAATTGCTCTCCTCACTTTTAGAATATTTGTGTGGGATTTTATCTTTATGTCTCAAAGTCAAAGTGAGAAGTATATGGATCGAATACCTTGGAATACTAGATAAGAGGGGGGGTGAATTAGGCTTTCAAAAACCTGCTAGAATATATTCAACCTTTTTTGACAGACAGCCCTTCTTTTTCAAGATGCTTCTCAATGAACAAGATAATATAGTAGCACAGGTATTAGTGAGATGAGGAGAAAAGCAGTTTATATAGAAAAGCAGTAAATGAGAGTAAAGAACCAAACCAGGCTTCAAACACAACTGATGTTTGACACCCTCTATTATATACCAAGTTACTTCAAGCTGAATAGACTTGCAACCAATCTTATGTGTACAAGGAAGGGATCACTTCCTTCTTGCCCCAAAACACACTTGGTCAAGCAAGGAAGTTTTACACACAGTCGCAAACCCTCTCTTTGCTACACTATTGAAGAAGCTATGTCACACTTGAAAAAACAGCCACACGAAGATTGCACATACAAGGAATACAAATGTTTCTTTTGAGTATTCTAGCACTTGAATCACTCACAATCTGATGTAGGCTTGATGTACAAAGTTACCCTGAGGTGGTTGACTTAGTTCCTTTTATAGGAGACCAGAGAATTCTTCAATTAATGCTGTCAACGGATAGAAGGCAGCTGAAGAGTCAACTAGCCGTTGGTGCTGTCGGACGTCCGATGCTTGGTTTTTATGCGTCCGAACGATATAACTGAGTTCTGGAAGTTTTCTCGAGTCTCTTAGGACGTCCGATCATGCGTCCGAGGGTAGGATGAATACTTGGTCTTTTCTTCTTCAATTCCTTCGGACGGCCGATGCATCCAAAGTGTTGTGTCCGAAAATCAGCAACATTTGTCGGACGTCCGATACACAGGTGTTGAGCGTCCGAACCAAATTAGTAATGGAGTAACTCCTGGCTTGTCTTCTTCGGACGTCCGAGTCTGAGTTCTCTACTCGTCCGAAGATGCTCAAAGAATGTCGGACGTCCGATACTTTCCTTTTGTGCGTCCGACATCATCCTCAGCATACTTCATTCCTTTCTGATCTTCTTTTTCTGCTTTAACTCTACGTACCTGTTTGGTTTATTTCTGAAAAGGATCTTTACAAAAAGTATTAGAAACATCCAATTGTTTTGTAATCATCAAAAGATATGAATTTGAGATAAACAATCTCCCCCTTTTTGATGATGACAAAACAATTGGATACAACACAAAATATGGCAGCTCCCCCTGACGAAGTGTATGGGTAATATATTACTCCCCCTAAAACTGACTCCCCCTAACTAGATGTTCTATACCATCAGTTATAAACCAAATCCAATTCCAATTCTCCCCCTTTTTGTCATCACAACCAGCAAATCAGTATAAATATTCATCACAGTTTGGAGTTAATCATCGAGCAGATGTCAATCAGAAACATTCATTCAACCAGCACACATAAAAACATTCATAACACAATACTTAGTTAAAGCATTCATAAACAGTAAAGAAACTATCCAGTTTTACAGACCAGGTGTCCTGCACTTAAAACAAAAGATAAACTATAGTCCTAGATTTTGGTGCAGTGACCTAGAAGTGCCTAGATAGTGATTTTAGATGATCCAGGCCTCCTCCTGGTCAGACGATACTGTTCAGGGTCCTCCTCTTCCTCAGTTTCTTCATCATCATCTTCAACTTCTTCCTCAGTAATTGGAGCCTTGCCTTTGTCCTTGGGCTGAGAACTAGAAGCTGGAGTAGTCTCATCACCAGTGGTTGGCCTTGTGGGCTCAGATCTTGGTTCTTTCTGATGAGCAGCTTCATTTGTTTCAGGTATAGGGGGCACAAGAAGATTCCTTTTTTCAAGAAAGGAGGATTGTTGGGCAGAGGTCATGGTCATCATGAGACCATCTTCAAGAAGCAGAACATGCTGTTTGAGGTCTTCAAGCAGGGAGATGACCTCAGAATTGGAAGGGAAGGACTTACTGGCAGACTTTCTGGGATGAATGGTGAAAGGAGACACATATCCTGACTGATCATGGGGAGTTCTAGGAGTGACAGGGGTTTCATGCAAATTTTTTCTTCTAGACTCGGCCACAGTTTCCTTGTAGCACCAATGACCCTCAAAAAATTTTAGATTCTTTCTTTCAAAATAAGCTTTGGAGAAAACTGAAGAAGCACTTTCTTTTGGAGATTTGCCAGAAAAGGGTATGTCAAAATGAGCAAAAATGGGGGTCAGAAATCTGCCATAGGAAAGCTTCCTACGACTGTCAGTGCTGATTTTGAGCAGGAATTTGCACATTACAAATCCAAAGTCAATGCGGATTTTTTCAACAAAGCAGTAGAAAAGATATAGTTCCATTTTATTTGCATCTGTTCTGTGGCCATCAGTTGGCACCAACAGATTCGAGATGATAGTGAAGATGATCAGATTCTGAGGACTGAGATCATCCAATCTTGCCTCAGCAGGGGTGTTGAATTTGGATTGAAAATAAGTCATGAGTTTAGCATTGTAAAAGTGATGATAGGCAGAAGGAAATTCCTCATATGAAAAGAAGTTTGCAATTTTTCCTTTGAAACTGGGTTCAATGTTGGTTTTCAAAATGGAGTTCACAATGTCAGGAGTTAACATGATGTCCACAGAATTGACCCTAGAGATGAGTTCAGTGTGTGATTTACCCTTTCTAAGATTAGCAAAGAATTGATATAGCATGTCAGGGTAAAAGACATTAGGAATGGTCAGAATATGGGTCCATTTCTGGAACTCAAACAATTTGACAACAGATTCAAGATCAAGTTTACGGAATTCATAGGGAATGATAAGTCTTTGGGTGATAAAACCTTTTTGAGAGACCAACTCAAATCTGTCTCTGGCTTCATCATCAATGAATTTCGGAAGAGGAGTGGGTTCTTCAACTGGTTGAGACACAGGATCCCTTTCAGAGCGTTTCTTGCTTGAAGTTTGTGTGGCAGATGCTTCCACATTTTGAGCCACAGATCTAGTCCTTGGAGACTTCCTGGTGGAATGGTTCAGGAGTCTTCTTATTCCCAGTAGTGTTCTCTTCATTCTGCTGATCATCAGTGGGATCAGCAGACTGTTTTTTCTTGGATTGAGGAGTGTTCTTCCTCTTAACGGACCTCTTTCTTTTAGCAGAGAATCTTGTGACAGTTTTATCTCCCTGGTCAGCCTGTTCTGGTTCCTCATTTCTACCAACAATGTTCTCTTCAGAGTTCTGCCCATCCAACTGTTCATCAGATGATTCAGCAGTTTGGATATCCAGTTTCCTTTGGGCAGTCTGCTTCACCTTACCACTACGGGTTATAGTCTTCTTTTTGGGTGCCACAGGAGGTGGTTCTAAAATTTCAATATCTTCATCCCTAAGCCTAAAGGATCGTCCGACACTAGAAGATCCTCCTCTCATTCTAACCATGATGCAATGTGGATATATTTTTGGATAAGAAGTGTGGTGTACAAAGAAAGAGTGCAGTAGGAACCAACTGATGAATACTGAGAAGCCGCAAGGAGAGGGTTATATGATTTTAGGGTTTCGTATGTAAATTAGGAATGTTGGGGTAGTTGGGTGTTAGGAGTGCCTTTTATGAATGATTAATGAGCAGGAGAAGTGTAATGGAGTTGGTTGAGTTAATTTTTTGAAACTTGGTTTGAGGAGAGAGGAATTTGAATTTCAAATTTTAGAGAAACTGAAAGGTCGCGTCCGAGAGTTATGAAGGAAAATGAATTGAGAAGAGTGGATAACTGTCTTATAGGACTCATTTTTTTGAGTGTCGGACGTCCGAACGAAGTGATGCGTCCGACACGACCGTCCGAGCCAGGGATTTTCTGGACCTTGGATGAAGAACACTGTCGGACGTCCGTTCCAATTCATCGGACGTCCGATAAGGATTGTCTGGAAATAAGACTCAGAACTTTTTTTCTGTAACACCCAATTTAGTCCTCAAAAACACAAATTGATCTAGCGGAAGAGCTTTTGTGAGTATATCAGCGATCTGTTCTTTAGAACAAACAAACTCAACACGGATTATCCCCTTTGAGACAAGATCGCGAATGAAATGATGCTTAATATCAATGTGCTTAGTCCTAGAGTGTTGAATGGGATTTTTTGTTAGATTAATTGCACTGGTGTTGTCACAGTACATGGGTACACATTCATACACTAAACCGAAATCATTTAGTGTGTTTTTCATCCACAACAATTGAGCACAACAAGCACCAGCAGCAACATACTCAGCTTCAGTAGTGGACAGTGAGATAGCATTTTGTTTTTTACTAAACCAAGAGACCAAGCAATTTCCAAGAAAGTTGCATATACCAGTAGTACTTTTTCTATCTATTTTACAACCTCCAAAATCAGCATCAGAAAATCCACACAAAGGAAGTTCATAACATTTTGAATACCACAAGCCAAAGTTTAAGGTTCCTTTAAGATATCTCAAGATTCTTTTTACTGCATTCAAGTGTGATTCCTTTGGACAGGATTGAAATCGAGCACATAAACACACAGCAAACATGATGTCAGGCTTACTAGCAGTTAAATAAAGTAAACTTCCAATCATACCTCTGTACTTCTTCTCCTCAACTTTAATACCTTCCTCATCTTTGTCTAGTTTGGTAGAGGTGCACATAGGTGTCCCAACAGGCTTTGAATCCTCCATTTTGAATCTTTTCAGCAACTCCATGGTGTATTTTGTTTGATTTATAAATGTTCCATCATGGGTTTGAATCACTTGGAGTCCAAGGAAGAAATTCAGTTCTCCCATCATGCTCATTTCAAATTCTTTTTGCATGATGATGGAAAAATCCTTGCACAAATTTTCATTAGTAGCACCAAATATGATATCATCCACATATATTTGCACTATTAAAAGATCTTGTGAGCTTTGTTTTGTAAAAAGTGTAGTGTCTACAATGCCTCTTTTAAAACCATTTTCAATCAGAAATCCACTCAGACGTTCATACCATGCTCTAGGAGCTTGCTTTAATCCATATAAAGCTTTTGAGAGTTTAAACACGTGATTTGGATAAGATACATTTTCAAAGCCAGGTGGTTGGTCAACATAGACTTCTTGATCTATAAATCCATTTAAGAAAGCACTCTTAACATCCATTTGAAATAATTTAAAATTCTTGAAACATGCAAATGCTAAAAACATTCTTATGGATTCCAGCCTGGCTACTGGTGCAAAAGACTCATCAAAGTCTATTCCCTCTTCTTGAGTATATCCTTTAGCCACCAGTCTAGCCTTGTTTCTAACAATCTCCCCTTTATCATTCAATTTGTTTCTAAACACCCATTTTGTGCCAATGATAGGATGGCCTTGTGGTCTGGCAACCAGAGTCCAGACTTTGTTTCTTTCAAATTGGATTAACTCTTCTTCCATAGCTAAATTCCAGTGCTCATCATTCAAAGCATCAACAACATTTTTTGGTTCAATATGTGATACAAAAGCAAGATTATCTACCAGGTGTCTAGAGGAACGAGTCCTGACCTTTTCAGAAGGATCACCAATTATGAGCTCCCTGGGATGATTATGAACAAATTTCCAGGCTCTTGGAAGATCATTAGGAGTAGTGGTATCTCTATTATTCACTTCTTCAGCTGGACTGATCTGAGCATCATTATCCTTTGAATCAGTTTCTGGTGAAGCAGAGTCATGGTCATTGATTGCTAGTTTCTTTAGTCCTTCTTGAACACCTGTGTCATCATCATCACCACAACTCATAGAAATGTCACCATTAGATTCATCAAAAGTAATATGTATAGCCTCCTCTATAATCAATGTTCTACGATTATAAACTCTGAAACCTCTTTTGTTTTCACAATATCCCAAGAAAATTCCTTCATCAGATTTCTTGTCAAACTTTCCAAGATGTTCCTTGATATTCAAAATGAAACACTTACAACCAAATACTTTGAAGTAGCTGACTACTGGCTTTTTATCATACATGAGCTCATAGGAAGTTTTGTTCAAAATTGGTCTTAGAAGAATTCTATTCATGGTATAACAAGCTGTGTTTATGGCTTCAGCCCAAAAATATTTTGGTAAATTGCATTCACTAAGCATGGTTCTAGCAGCCTCTTGGAGAGTTCTATTTTTTCTTTCTACAACTCCATTCTGTTGAGGAACTCTAGCAATAGAGAATTCATGGGTAATACCATTGTGATCACAGAATTCTGGAAAACCACAGAACTTAAATTCTGTCACATTATCACTTCTAATTCTAACAATTTTCAAGCCAAGCAGATTTTGTACTTTAGCAAATAATGAGGTAAAATTCTTAAAGGCATCATCTTTATAAACAAGGAATATTACCCAAGTGTATCGAGAGAAGTCATCAACAATCACAAAACAATATCTCTTACCACCAAGGCTTGCAGTCTGTGTAGGGCCAAATAGATCAAGGTGCAGAAGTTCAAGTGGTTTTGAAGTGGAAACACATTTCTTAGGTTTAAAAGAGACCTTGACTTGTTTTCCAAATTGACATGCATCACAGATTCTGTCTTTTTCAAATCTGATTTTTGGAAGACCTCTAACAAGTTTCTTTTTAGAAATTTCTTTCAGCAAGTCCATATTGAAATGACACAACCTTCTATGCCATAACCATGAGTCCTCATTTGCTACTTTGAGACATTTGAGATATGAGGAATCAAAATTTTCAAGATACACAACGTAGACATCATTAACTCTTTTTTCTTTGAAAATAATGTTGAACTTTGAGTCAAATATAAGACATTCAAGCTTTTTGAATAATACAAACAGATTCCTATCACACAATTGGCTAACACTTAACAGATTGTAGCTCAAATTATCAACAAGAAGAACATTGTGAATAAAAGTTTGATCATTCTTACCAACATCGCCAATGCCAACAGTTTTGGCTTTGTTATCATCTCCAAAAGTTACCTTTCCACTTGCTTTTTGCTTGAGTTTAATAAATTGTGACGCATCACCAGTCATATGTCTTGAACATCCACTATCAATGAACCATTTTGATCCTTTAGCACTGTAATCCTGGTTCACCTACACACAAACCCACAAGATAATACTTGGTACCCTTTACATGTTGGGTCCTTGAGAGTTAGTCTTATGTTTGACTATCCACATGCATCTCATCCCATTCCTCATATTTTTCTTAACATGACAGTTGCTGTACATGTGGCCAGATTGATAACAAAAGTTGCACATTGACATAGGATTAATCAAATGAACAGGTTTGATGAATCTAACTTGCCTTCTTCTGTGGATAGCAAACTCATTTGTATTTTGGTTCAGTCTTATTCGATGAGTATTAACATAAGGTACAGTGTCAATTTTTTGAAGATGATTCTGTTTCACATGATGTAACAATTTACATAAATCATCCATCCTTTTTCTCAGGCTGCATTGCTCACTGTTGAGTAAGTCACAGTAATTTTTCTTTTTGTAAAGTTCAGCAATCGCATCAGTTTCAGTCCTTTTCAGGTTATCATTTTCATGCTTAAGGCATTTGTTTTGTCGAAAAAGATTTGCATTGTCTTGTATTAAAAAGCTGATTTTTTGCTTCAGTTCTTTGTTTTTAGCATAGGATTCTTTCAAGCTGTCATGCATTTTTTCTAGAAAAGAATTGACATCATCATCAGATTCACTATCACTATTGATTTGAGAGTTGCATTGTGTTACCTCTTCATCTCCAATGGCCATGAAAGCTACTTGAGCAGATTCCTCTTCTTCTTCAACTTCGCCTTCTGAGTTGCAATCATTCCAGGTAATCTGAAAATTGTTGAACTTTGGTTTTCGTTCAATCTTGTTTTCCTTCTTTTTCTTCATTGGACACTCATTTGCATAGTGTCCAGGTTGGCCACATTCAAAGCATTTATCATTCTGCTTCTTGTTGAACTCTAGTTTCCCTCTATTCCTGAAGTCATTAGTCTGATTCTGGAAGGAATTGCTGGATCCGCCTTTCCTGAATCTTCTCTTATTAAGAAATCTTTTGAAGCCTCTTGTGATGAGTGCAATGTCACTATCATCACCTTCCAAGTCATTTTCATCCAGTGAGGCTGTTTCATCTTCATCTTGTGAAGTTTTCAGAGCAATACTCTTCCTTCCTTTTGTGTCTTCTTCTTCCTGCAACTTAGATTTAAGCTTCAGTTCATAGGAAGTTAGAGAGTTAATCAGAGATTCAATGGATAAGGAATTTAAATCCTTAGCTTCCTCTATAGCAGTTACTTTGCTTTCCCAATCCTTTGATAGAGCATTCAGAATTTTTCTGTTCTTTTCACCTAGAGAGTATTCCTTCTCGAGTACCTCTAAATCCTTGATCAGATCATTGAATCTACAATACATTTTGTCGATGTTCTCATGAGGCTCCATCTTAAAAGATTCATATTTGGTGACCAGAATGGACTTTTTCTGTTCTCTTACGTTGTCGCTG